CAAGCGAAGCTCATAGAAAAAAGGTTTTGACAACTTTTCATAGTACTAGAGGAAGAAGATTAAGACAAATTGACTGTACGGGTATTTTGTATCGTCACTAATCCCAAGGTTCAGGTGAACGTTCTTTGGAAATACAGATCATCCGTACCTACCAAAAAAGCCCAGAGAGAATCTATAGTCACTACAGAGACTTTAATCAGTGAGTTGATTTTTTTGGTTTTGAATTACGCACATCAAGTATTTTCTACTCTCTACTGGTAATGTATTTTTTTACCTTTTTCATACAAAACATTATATGTTTTTTGCTTTTTCAACCAAAGCACGTCATTTATTGAGTCAGTTATAAATACGTTATGGCACAGAAATTCTTTTAGTGAACAAGTTTTCAAAATGTCTTTTTTTTTTTTTTTTTTTTTTTTTTAAGAAATTTTCTCAAGAGAAAGAGGTGCTATTATGCTATTAGTAGGATACAAATATCTGTGGTAATAACAACCCAAACTACACGAGAACAGGACAATTAAGAGGGGAAAGTGTATGTTATGGGAGCAGCGTCAACTAGAAGCGTAACTCCGGCATCTGTGTTTCCACTTACTTGATGAAAATTGCGAGGATTGATTATAAAGTAGAAAGAAGTTTCTTGAAATTCTAAAATGCGATCTGTATTTGTATTTTTCTAAAATACTGTCAGCATCCCTTCTGCAGTGGGATGTTCAGATTGAACAGATCTGGAAAACAAACACGAACCAATGTATTTACAGAACTTGTGCATTAATTTGAATCTTCCATTCATAGAAGTCTCTCTGAAAAAGCTATTTGAAGGCTAAAGGTATCGAAGGATCGTTCATTTACGTTACGTGAACCAGTCACTTGAAGCATTAGAGTTTCAATTTAATTTCAAGCGCTAACTTTCCGGTACACGATCTTAAACTCTCATCTGCTGTTCATTTACATCCAATTTTCGTGTAACGCGTCATTATGCAGTCCTCATCCTGTAAATGAGGAAGCATTTTAATTGTATATGATCAATTCTCAAAACATCTTCCTTCTAACAGGTAACGCTATTGAATTTCATGATAACTTCAGAAGGAATGCAGGATCAGCTTCTTGGAATAGTAGTTGCAAGAGAAAGACCAGATCTTGAAGGAGAAAAACAAGCCCTCATCCTTCAAGGGGCTGCAAATAAAAGGTATGAAGATAATTTCCCTTGCTAGGGACTGAAGCAGATTGCAGTTTAGGAAAATCAAAATCACTGGAAATACTTTTCAGAGGCATTTTTTAATTGTTCTATTATTTAGGTCTGATTTAACTGGAAATTCAAGAGCATGATTTTTGAGAGCCCAGACTCTGCTCGTTTAGCTTTTAGACTGTTGAGAACGCATGGTCTTTCTCTTACTCATACCGTTTATGGCTTTTTGTCACAGACACAGTTTGCTATATGTGGGATTGTAATAAAATATTGAAGAAGTTAGGGGGATGTGTCATCGTAGAGCAAACTCCTGATCCTGTCTTCTGTCTTTACACGTCCCTTTCAAGTTGTTATTAACATATGATTTGCTGTCCTCACAAACGTTGATGTTTTACACTGTTTTGTTTTTTTTTTTCCCCCTCTGCATTATATTTGCTATTATTGCACATGCGGAAGGGATCTTTGCCCGCAGATCAAAGCATGAAACGTGTAGCATTCAAAATGTTGTGACCCATTCTCCCTTTGTTTATTTGCAGTGTTTATTTCAAGTCTGAAATTAGCTTAATTTTTCTGAAATTTAAGCCAATACTTACTAACAGGTACAAAAAGGTTTTCTTACGTAAGTTGCGTACCATGGAAAGAATCTACGCATAACCTTCTTCTGTAAAACTAGCAGAAAATTGCCAAATTTAATAAGCAAAAAAAATTGTATTTTATCATAGGCAATTAAAAGAAATAGAAGACAAGATTTTAGAAGTTCTTTCGGCTTCGGAAGGAAATATTTTGGAGGATGAAACCGCTATTAAGATATTGTCTTCTTCCAAAGTTCTGGCTAACGAGATTTCTGAAAAGCAAGCTGTAGCCGAAGAAACAGAAAAGAAGATTGATGCCACTCGTATGGGCTATCGTCCTATTGCTGTCCATTCATCGATCTTGTTTTTTTCTATTACCGATCTAGCCAACATTGAGCCGATGTATCAGTACTCTCTCATGTGGTTTATTAACCTTTTCACCATGTCTATAGATAACTCAGAGAAATCAGAAGATTTACAAACAAGGTAAGAGGGATAATTTGCCATTTGTAATTGGTGACATTTTCGGTTAGTCTAGAGAAGTTAGTGCCATTTCTGCGAAGCGTGTCACGTAAGGCGTCGCGTTCTGAAACATTCCTTGTATATATCTGCCGGATATTGTTCTGAAAGACAATTTCTTCATAGAGACAAAATGGTATGACATAATACAAGTGCAACATATTTCACTCTTTTATTTAGTAATCGCTAACTTAAGACACATGTGAATTTGCAAAGCAGCAGAGCAATTAAAATGGTCCGCTCACCTTAATTTTGTATTTAATGTATTGACTTTGTATGCCTTCCCGAAGCAGATAAGAAACATTCACGCAACTGGTAAAAGAGAATGAAGTCTTGCGTCCGGGGGCCTAGGTTGTAGAGTAGGAAAAGCAGTAGTTATTAACCCAGCAAATGTTGGAATGTTTGATTACGGTTTTGTATGCGGGGCGTCCCTCCCTCTTCCATTTTTTCTTCACGAGAACGGGAGAAACTGCAATCTTCAATGATCTCATAAAAGCAAGCCCTGGATTGATTTTACGTGTGATTGATTAAGATCGCAGTAGGATTGTTCAAAATGTAACGCTGAAGTGAATTATCTACACGGAGATTTTCTTAAGAGATCTTTTCAGTATTCCATCAATTCAATTAATAAATTGTATTTCGGCAGCTTGTTTGATCTCCAGATCTGGGGATTAAATGCACGGAGCTTTGCTTTTCTAGCTTAGCTACTTCCGTGGTCATTCACTGAATGAAAGACAGGGGAAACTACTGCAGAAAAAACAGTTAGTGTTACGGATTACAATTTCTGAATTATCTGTGACAGTCTGTGTTTTATTTAAATACAAGTGAGGTGCGGTTTCTGGCAAGGTAGCACTTAACGTAAAAGCGTTTGTTTTAATGGCGTACTGATTTACGAAGGTTATTTTTTCATTAGAATTTAAGGTTTGTATAGTTCAAGATTAGCATACGCGTTTTTATCACAAATGCTACGCATTCAAGTCAGAATTAATATTTTGTTATTGTATTTGAAACTATGTTCAACTTATCCTTCTGCCAAAAGACAGTCTGCATTCTATACACCTATCCCTTTGACTTTAATTCTTACGTGTTCTTGTCTCAAAAAAGCAGCCACACGCGCCTGTGTTCCTAAATCAAAGTCAGCGAGCGATAAGAAAAAAGTTTTTTGCTTAGTTTATTTGAAACAAAAACTCTGTGCTAGCAGAAATTGGAAGATGCGGAACCTGAATTCCAGGTGACAGTATGCATTCCCGGGGCACAATCGGTGTAAGCTCATTTTCACAGCTTTGACCATGAAAGACATAAAAAGGCAGACCTGCTAAGGCACAGAAAATTCTGTCAGTTAATAATTCACGTGGGACTTTTTTCTTGGGTCGTCTCCGCTAATCAGGTGGTAGTCACTACGTGCTCTGAGATTTTTATGTTCTTCTTAATTCTTTTCTTTGTTTGACATAACTGTACGAATGCAGGTGCTTGGTTTTTAACCATCTGTATAGGTTTTTCATTTCTTTTTGGCTGTTCTAACGTAACTCTTGGCGAAATGATGACTGACAAACCGTCCTTTTTTATTTAATTTAAAGAAAATAATTAACAGTCATAAGTTTTTCGTATATTTGCGATTATAGCGTCTGTAGAATAGAAAATGGATTACAGAAGACGATCAAAAATCAGCGGTTTGGATTTGAGCCGTGGTATTCTTGTTCATAATGAATCTTAAGATTGTTTTTGCCACTTCCAAAGGAGACTGCTCTTTTCCTCAGCAAAACATGTCGGGGAGTCGTAATTTTGGTTTTTGTTATTTTGGCCAAAAATCGGTACCCCAATTTAACGATTCTTTTGAGGCTAATTGACCAGAGAGTTTCTTACAATTAAGGGGATCCAATTTATTTGTAGTAGGCTTCAAAAATGCACAGATCTTAAGCTTGATATTAATGGAAGATCATTCTTTTCCTGACACCTGTAGGTTGAAGATTCTCAAGGATCATTTCACTTACTCTCTTTACGTCAATGTCTGTCGTTCACTGTTTGAAAAGGACAAGCTGCTCTTCTCTTTTTATCTAACTGTGAATCTCCTGAAATATGAGAAAATGGTAAGTAATTAAAAATAATCTCCTGTTCAAACGACCAGCCGTAAGAATTGAGAGGATAAAATAGGAAAATAAGCGTATACGTAATAGTAATATTTAATCCAGAATTTTGTTGTTTGAGTTCAATAAGCAATTACTAGAAGCAAAGGAGATTCTATAGAATAAAATAAATTTGTCACAAACAAGTGTGGCAAAAACATACTAGATGATAATAGCTTTTCTGGATGTTATTGAAACCTAAGTCCGCCCTATACTATTCTTAGGGTTAAGGTTTTACAAAATTTTACCGTAACGTATTCTGAATTCTGAAAGCATATAAAAATGAATTGTGAGAGGCAATTTAAGAAATAACTCATCTTCACTTAAAGCGTTAAATCTTTTTAATTTTTTAGTAAGAATTGCTGAAAGCAAATGTGAATTTTGTTAATTTTTACTAATTCTTTACGAAATACTTTTTTACTAGGATTTTTTTCTTTCTTTTTTTTTTTTTTTAATTCACGATGAAATACGCTCACTTTAACCTCAATATCCGCAAAGCGGTACTTCTTAAAATTGCTCGGTGGTTTCACAGTATCGCAGAAGCACTAGAATGAATATTTTCAAGAGCTGACACAGCTATGGACAAGCCACTTGCATTTACAAAACTTAAGCCATTCAAGTTTTGAGATAAAAGAACGAGACGCATAATGGACCAATAGTTGGACTTACATTATAGTGAAAAGTTTTCAAACTGCGTTGTCCCCTTAAGTATTTCCAGAATGGGTTTTTTTATTTGCTTTTTCCGCTCCAAAATGTTGGGAACTAAGAACAAATGTAATGAAGAGCGCTTTGTCTTAAACTGCTCGTTCCTCCAATTTAGGAATGCAAATGAAAATCCTTTTAAAATCAGCTTTTGTATTAAGTTTTCCAGTTCCTCAAATTCATTGTTAACTGAAAATCAGACTCTAAATGCTTCGAGTCGGAATCTTTTTCAACTGGTCTAAGAAATCAGATAAGCACAGTGATTTCCTATAGAACATATTAAAACGATCAGATTTTATTTATTTAGTTCTAAGAGCAGCGTTTTTCCCCGCAGATTAACGAGAATGAATGGAAATTCCTGTTGACCGGTGGCATAGGCTTGGACAATCCCTTCTCTAATCCGTGCACCTGGCTTCCTCCGCAATCATGGGATGAAATCTGTCGGCTAGAAGACTTGCCGTGCTTCACGAACATTCGTAAGGATTTTACGCGACTTAAAGACGGATGGAAAACCGTGTACGACAGCTTGGTACGTTAACATTCCCAATTGCTTGCTTCCATAAGCTAATTAACGCATCAAATACATTTGTTGTCAGAAAATGGAGTATTGTCATTTTACAGGGTTGATTTCTGCATATGTGAAGGTAAAAATTTAAGCAAACGGTGTGGAGGGGCAGATAACTGCCAGTTTGTCAGGTGGCTACTGAATAGCAGGTATTTGATTTGGGCTGGAGTAAAAGAAGGCAAATCCTGTAGAAGTAAGGCAACAGTGAAATTAGTTACATTCAAATCAGCCGCTGTTGCCTTATCGGTAGGTCCATTTGTTCACAGGGCTTTGAGGATGCCTTTTCGTACCATTACATAGGTATTTAGCTTTTTTGGGTAAATTTAAGAAATGACAGCAACAAAAACAACCGTTGCATTTTAGAAATACTCAAGTGGGATTCAGGAGACCTGCGTCCTATTCCAGAGTGACAGATAGGCACAAATGATTTCTTTAAACGTTTTCACTACTGTACACTCAAAATTGAGCCTTTGTAGATGACTTACACTCCACTTTTAGGCACTTGCTTTGTCTTACTGTCAACTTCTCTTGGCGCTTGTTTTATCATACCGCTTTTCTTCTGCTTTTAGTTATGCCGTGAGTTACGCAGCTAGCTCTCACTGTATGCACAATTCCTGATCCAACTATTTTAAAAACTACCATTTCCCAATAGCACCACGCCTGACCGTTACTGTTTCCAACACCAACACTGAAACAGTAGCGTCTGTTCATCTAGTTGAGTGAGGCATTTTTCTCAACGTTACTTAAATGAGGAAAATATATCAATGTACAGCTAGATGGCCTGTGACCTGTTACACTCTTTTTAAAAAGGCTGCATTTTATCTATTTCAACGATTTAGAAATCCTTTCTCTAACCAAGGGACTGGACAGGGGTAGAGAGGAAAGCTAAAGGATTTTTAGTTGGAATTTCTCATGATGGTATGATAAATTTTGAAGAAATAAAGTAGATACGGCTGCTTCAGTCGTCCAGATAGCAGGAAACAGGCAAATAGCAGAAATAAAGCTTGCCTTAAGCATTTACATAACTTATATGGTAAGTTGACAGCTTCAGTTCATCTTCCAACACTAGCCATTGAGAAACCAAACATGGAAATTACAACCTTTGAAACAGAGGGTGAGAAGACTACTTCATGATGTACACTAAGATGATACCATTTTATAGTAAAGGTGCTGACTTGCAGAAGAAAAGAATCAGGGTCCACATATTGACCGCTGACCACATTCAAAGAGCCAAACTGAAATAAACAGAAATTTCTTCACTTAAATATCATTAAAAAAAAAAAAAAAAAAAAAAAAATCTATTAAATTATTAAAAAAAAAAAAATCTAAAGAATTAGTAAGACCTCAACTAGGACCGCCGTTACTGAACCCTGAACGGTATATATAGTGCCTGTCACCGTCTTGATCTGGAGGAGGCATTAGGCCTCTTACTCATTATAAAAACATTTTCTTTCAGCGTCCAGCTTCAACAATAATACTTTCCTGTGAAAGCACTGGAATGTTGAGAAGTGCTAGTTGATGGGTCTCAGTAACCATTCTTTTTCTCATAGAGGCCATCTTTTTCACCAGTATGGTTTATCCCCAGCAACGCACAAGCAGGCAAAGGGCAGTTTAGTCAATGAAAGGAGTAGAAAGAGGGCACAAAATGACTTCCAGCACCCTCGTCATAAATAACAGTATGATGAATATAGCTGTCTCAAGATCATCAAAAAACTATTTGACGTTTGCTTCTCCTACTCTTGCAACTCATGTTTCTTCCAAAAACAGAGAAGACCTGAGTTCAGCTCCCTGCTCCAAGAGTTTTGTGTATTTTGTCTAAAGTTAAGCTCTGTATCTTAGAGCAGGGACCGAAACTTGGTTTCCTCCAACCAGCTGGCTGGCCACCTTAACGTCAAAGCTTACTGCTGCATCTCTGCTTCTCGTGGATAAACAATCAGTTTTTGGCAGTAGCACAACTCATTGTGGTCTTCAGTGCAACCTTTGCTCATAAGTGTTTCTTAATTTTCTCAGTGATACCAAACTAGCACTTTTTTAGCCATGCTCTTAAAGAGTCGGAGTTTTCACAGCTACATACCTATTTCCCCCTTCTATTAATTGAAAAATAAGATTAGTATCCAGAACGCTGCGCTAAGTGCTAAGAAATCATGGAGAGGGTCAGAGCCCAGGCCCTTTGAGGAACACAAGCTCCATCGTGAATGGATTTGCTAAATCAGAGTTGCTCGGAATCCGTAGTCCACCCATATGCCTCTGTGCCCGGCCCTTTACATGCGAGCCTAAGTTGCCCCGGTGCAGCCGTAACAGCAGTGTCCAGCTAGTATTGTACTGGAGTAAGTTAACATACACCGCACGCTCATTGTTATTCCGGTCTAGTAACTGCTGTCAAATAGCTGGAATGTTCATAAGCTGCTTACAAAATAAGTTCTGGGGCATTCTTTGACTCGTTTTTTCAGTTCAATTTCACTCAGATCCGGCATAAATACCGATTGTCATATAATAGCGTAGCATTTCCTATATCTCATCTCTTGTCTGCTTTCGTCCTAGAGAAAAGAGGAACTGGGGTCGTTAACATTTTAAATACCTGATAATGACTGGCTTCTCTGCCACAGTAGACACTCCCTAGATATACTTTTTTTTTTTTTTTTTTTTTTTTTTTAAGAAAAAACATTAAATGAGGGAAAATAACACAAAGTCCCATTCCTGCAGATTTTTAAAAAGACTATTGTGAATTGATGTATCGAGTTAAGATAATCAACAATTCACATAATTCACAAATGCTTTAGAGAAAACTGAAATATGTATGTTTTTAGGATCCTCAGCACGAGGATTTTCCTGCAGAGTGGCAAGAAAAGTTGGGCGAATTCCAAAGGATGCTCATCATTCGCTGTCTGAGACCTGACAAGGTACGTACAAGGCTACTGCCTTATTAAAAAAAAAAAAAAAAAACCCTCTGTGTATTTTAGAAGCAAAAAACATTTGCAAATTTGCATTTCAACTGAGTTGCCACAGTTTAGCCCCAGCTGGCAGCTAAGCGCTACGCGGGCACTTGCTCAGCACTCACAGTGAGACGGGGGAGAGAAACGGATGTGGTAAGACTGTGAAAGTTCACGCTGAGGTAGTCTGTTTACCAGGTAGAAGTCACAGTAAGATAAATGCCGTCGTTCCAAATGTACTCTGTCCTCCTTCTTTCCCCTAGCTTCTACATACGTAACAATAGGAGACGGAATGTACCTTTGGTTATCCTAGACCAGCCACGTCTCCTCCCAGAAAAGTGTAACAAGCAGACTTATTAACGTGGAAGGATAGGCTTTGAGGTTTGGTTTTTTTTTTTTTTTAAACGTTTCACTGCATACACCAAAATCTCCTGAGCATTTCCAACTCAAGGTCATCTTACAAGCCTAGTGACTTTCCCTTTTTATTACATCTGACAACTTGGCTTGCATAAGTTTTTCACGTTGCTATCCAAGGTCAATTAGATTGGTGTAGGAAGATAATTTAACAGCAGCGTAGACTGTTAAGTAGTAATTACTGCAGACAGCCAGGTCCATTTTGTCCTACACATAGTATTTTGATTCAGGACAGTTGCGAGTGTCTGGCTCAAAGACTTGAATAAGGCATAGATCGCAGCAGGTACTCGCTGTTAGTCATCTTTATTCAAAGGTCAGCCCATGAAAAGCAAGATAAAAGTATTTGCTTATGTATTTATCATACATTCACAGGTTATCGTGACTAGTATTAGCTCACGCCTACCTGTGACAAAGCATTTTGCAAAAGAGAGAAATAAATCGGTTACTACTTCTGCTCCAGAGAGCCTATTAAGAAATTCTTCCTCAAACTGCTGTTCAGCTTAATGTTAGTATTTGCACAGGAATAAAAATATGTTTACTGTATAAAGAGAAAAAAAATATCAGTCATATTCAATTTCACTTTGCCAGTGGGATTCAGTTTAGGGATTTTTTTTTTTTTTTTAAATATATTTAGCAAACTTGTAAGTTGCAAGCATGTTGTTCAGCTATGCTTTCAATAGCATCAGGGAGAGAGTCTTGAATTTAGTTTTAGTTTAGGTATATTTAGGTAATAACTTTTTATAATTAGTCCAGCTTCTGAAGTATCAAACCGCTTCCAATAAAGCAGACCGCTCCTATTTTTAGCTATTTGAGCGCTGTTTATTCTTGATGTAATCTTGACAGCCACCAGGTATATTTTCAATATGAGACCTTACCAGCAAGATAAAGATCTATTGCGCAAAGCCACAGGGGGCTTAGACAACAAATAAGGGGGGCACAGTTCGCACGCCCCATCAGGGAGTTCATCTCACTTCATTCTCTGTTATTATCCATAGAATTAAGAGATGGCATATCAAAGGCCATTAATTAAAAAAGTTCAGATATGTGTGCTTCGATATACGTCAACAGCACAGCCGGCACAAATACTGCAGGGACGATCAGAACTCGAGAACCGTAACTCATTCAAAAGAAGGTTTGCAGTCTGACGGCATAATTAGACAGCAATTCAGTGTAAAGCTAGAGACAAAAAGCAGCAGTCCGACCAAGTTTTATTTTGTCAGGTGTGATATTCTTCCCCTCTGAGAAAAGATAGAGTTGCTAATTGTAGTTTCCGGGAATTACTATTACACACTCACGTTCATTTTTCTACTGCAATGAGATGTTGGATAAACAGTCGGAACTGAACTAAGTTTTCATCCAGAAACTAGACAAACTAGGTTTGGAAGGGCTAGAGCTGCAGGTTACTTAGCAAATAAGGTATTTTAATTATCAATTCCAAGTTACTCATTCTGGCACGACACCATCATGCCTTCCCTAGTGTTCAACCTTCTTAAGAAAAGAAAGAGTTCTGGAGTTCTGTTTTGTTTTTGGTTTTGGTTTTTGTTTTCCTTTTTTTTTTTTTTTTTTTTTGTTTTTGTTTTTTTTTTTTGTTTTTTAAATAGTTCAGCTTCACATTTTAAGATGACTTAGTTAACACTTACAGGGAAGGTTGTTAACCACATCATCTCCAGCATGTAGTACTCCTCCATTGTCAGATCATCAAACCACTTAGTAAGAGATAAAAATTCACAGCTGTGACAGTTGGTGTGCTTCTCCCTGCAACGTGAGCTCAGAAAAAGAACAGATACTAAAACCAAAAAAATTGCACTTCAAGATGCGTAAAAAGCAGGCAGGTTTCTTTAGTATTTCTGTCTACGGACAGAGGAGACATTTTGCAGATAACATCTGAAAGATAATTCAGCCAGTGTTAGATAAAACCAGTTGTGTGAACCGTGAGCGAGAGATAGTGAAAGGCAAGATCTGGACTGACTTCACATCACTGATAGAAATCATTTTCTATTGCCAAATCTCAAACGTTCTCTTTGGATGCAAAAGAAGAAGTGAAAAACCATATAGAGTATAACTAGCAAATGTGTCAAGGTATAAGATAGGATAAGCTTTCGGTAAGTTTCAGTTTAGTAAAATGCTAGAAAACTTGTTAGTTTTGTAATAAATAAAGGGGCGTTGTCAAAGAGATTTACAGAAATATTTAAAGAACGTGGTTAAGTCTGTGCTTACTGTGGGTCATCATTAGTTTCCCAGCCCTCCAGTTCTATCAAGCAAAAGAAACATTTTGCCACATCCGGTTCACTTGCACTTCGGCAGTGGATAAAGCCCACCTTTGCCACTTGCAAGAGACAGTTGAGAAGTTTAGAACTTCATCCAACACATGGCTCGTGCTCACATGGAATCATCGCAGAAGACTTTTGGTAACGTTTTTCCCCGCTGTATCTATCCGCATAGATCCAGCTGAAAAAAAAGTCTTAAGAGCGAGAGCTGCAAGAGGGCAAGTCAGTAAAGGAACAAGGAACAGTCAGATCCAGGAAGTAGGTTTTTATGTAGCTGTTATAATCGCAGGCTACCACAGTACTTTTGCTATTTCAGAGATTAGCTAGCACACCTACAGCAGCGTTCTGCTATCCATGCACGTAATCTGCTGTATCTGAGAATATATTTTTTTTCTAGAAAAAAAAATGTAGCGCAGGACCACGGCCATAGAAAACCCTTACATATAAACTGCGTGAGTTTAGCGCTACATTTTCCTGTCAGTTTAGAAAGGTACCTAGCAAGAAAACTGAAAAACACGTTTGTTTCAGTTATCAAGATTCACCTCTTAGATAACTCCTTTAGCACAGCATAGCTGAGATCTAACCCAGTTGTTCGATACATGCGCCAAAACAGAAACACAGTCTCCTCTTTTCAGCCTGCAAGTTGAAGCCTGCAAGGACGTAAGCGTTTAGTAATATGAAGATGATTTTAACTTTGGATATTAGATTCCGAAAGTAATCATTCCGATACTTCATCCTTCCTACTGGATGAAGTAGAATAGTCCCCTAGGCTTATTTCTAAAAGGAGAATCTGCAAACAGAAATGCAATGTAATGTAAAAAGTAACCCTAAGTTCAGAATACATAAAATTAAACATAGATCAGCAAACTAAATACATGAGCTTGTAGTCATCCTGCTGCAATATTTTAGAGCACAAGGAAAACAAATCGCTCAGCTTTTTATCTCTGACTAAGCAAATGCTCACAAAGACCTCTTGAACAAAAGTACACTAACATGAAGAACTTCACCTTTATAGCATGTAAAAAAAAACCCCACAATGTTAAAGCATCCTTTATCACTCATTCTCTGAAGCATATTTGCAGTTCATTACAAAAAGCTAGTTAACCAAGGTTTTTAAGCGACTTTCATAATCTTACATTTCTTTAAGCTCATTCAGAAGTTTCAAAGTCGAAAGGAGCTCTTGCAGAAGCGCCTCCATCGGTGCAGGCTGTAGGGAGTGTAGGTCAGAGCTCCTGTCTTCCCAGGTCTCCAATTTAAGTTATTTGCCTAATTGGTGACACACTACACCTGTGAAGCAGAGCGGCTTTAAAATAAGTGAGAACACATGGGTGAGAGTGGGAGTGTGAAGAGTGGGATACAAGTCTTCTTTTGTTTCAGGTATGTGATGTTTCATATTATGTATTTATTAACTGAAATGAATAGTGTTTATTATGTATGATTGCATTTATTATTGTGTTTTATAATTGTGGTGTTGAAAATGTAAGTGAAAAGCTTATAGAAATTCAATAGTTTTGTGTAGAGTTGATACAGAAGCTGTTGAAAACAATACAGAAGCTGTTGAAAACACATAGGCTGTAATAACAGGAATTGAACTACTACTGGTGTTTTTGAAGTGTTTTAAATTACTTCAATTTCATGTCAAGGGTCAAAATTTTATACTGTGTTTGCTAATGTTGTTGTATCTGTGGTATTTCTGTAATGGTGAATTGGTAATTATGCAATGTTCAGTGTATTTTAAGGTATACTATTGAAGAAACAAATAAAATAAATGGTGACTTAAAAGAGGAAAGTAGCTATAGATGTTTGTAGTTATCAAAGCATGCAGCTGTGTTCTTGCAAACTGTTTCATACTTATGAAACTGTGCTTACTCTACAATAGTAAATCTAAAGGGCAGGATACTATGCTATGCTGTACTTTGCAAATCTGAGGTTTTACTTCTTTCAAATTATCTCTTTCAAAATTATGTCTTTCAAAGCAAGCTCCATTAAGGTATTTGAAAGGTGAAATTCTGTTTGCGACATAATTAGCATGCGCGCGGGTGGGCTTCCAGGTTCGCTTCCAGGTTCTTACGTCACTATGTTACTCTGTTCAGATGCGAGATGGGAATGACTTTAAGGGTTGCTTATTTCAGCCATTTCAGGGTACGTCTTTCTTACGAGATTATTTCGGTCACATTTTTTATGTATTAAGTTATTTCTCTGGGATTGAATTAGTGGTTTGTTGTCTGTGTAGCGGTACTCTCCTTGGGGCTTATAGTAAACTGTTCCAAATGGCATAGTAACACTTCCACATCAATAGGGTGTTCAGATTTGATTGTTTCTTTTTTTAGGTAATACCAACAGTGCAGGAATTCATCATTCACAACCTGGGCCGTCCGTTTATCGAGCCACCTCCATTTGATTTGTCGAGAGCGTTTTCTGACAGCCACTCTTGCGCACCACTGATATTCATACTTTCTCCCGGTGCCGACCCCATGGCAGCACTTGTTAAGTTTGCTGACGATCAGGTATTGTAATATCTCCAGATTTTTTTCAAGGTAGATGATGCGTGTGTGTGTGTGTGTGTGTTGTTAATCTAAAACTCCTACGTTTCCTTAAGATAAATTTCTTGCACCGCACGCCTGTGACTACCGGAGTTCTTAGCCGTTGAGCGTCATGCAGCTGTCCGGCTACCAAGCAGTAAACTCTCGGTGCATTTTATTGTAGATTGCGTGCATCCCTTATGAGCCCTTATGTTTATAGGAGTTTTGTGGAACTGTCAGAACCGTAAGGTTCAGAACTAAACAGATGCATAGCGGGACTCTTTCCCTGGCAGATGATCACTGAGAGGTTGTAGGCAACCGGGGTGATGTGAGAAAATGTTTTCAATTGTATTGTAAAACAAGTAGTGCAGAGGAATTCAAGAATACGTACGGATGTGAGCTCTGATGCTATAAGCTATGTTGTGCTTCCACAGTATGTTTCTTACCTTTAGCGTGCTTTGTTACGCAGGGATACAGCGACACAAAACTCAGTTCTCTGTCGCTCGGACAAGGCCAAGGCCCGATAGCCATGAGAATGATAGAGAAGGCAGTGAAGGAAGGAACGTGGATAGTTCTGCAGAATTGCCATTTGGCAAGCTCGTGGATGCCCACGCTGGAACGAGTGTGCGAGGTAAAAATAACTAACGTTTTCGCTACACTTTTGAAAGTACATTTGAGGCATGTGGGCAGTTTACAATGCTCAATGACGATTCCCATTAATTACCTGGAATCACCACGTAGGTTCTGTCCTCCCTGCAAAAAAAAAAAAAAAAAAAAAAAATTGTGCAAATAATAACAGAGGAGATGCATATTAGTCTGTCACTTATTCCAATTGTTTTCGTATGTGTTTATTGTAGGAGCTTAATCCAGACACAACGCATCCGGATTTCAGAATCTGGCTCACCAGTTACCCGTCTGCCACATTTCCCGTGTCCGTACTTCAGAACGGAGTGAAAATGACGAACGAAGCGCCGAAAGGTTTACGAGCAAACATAATTCGTTCGTACCTGATGGATCCCATATCTGACCCTAATTTTTTCAACAGCTGCAAAAAAACGGTTAGTAATGCGGTGGTGGCCTTACTTCATGAAGGGGTTAAAGAAGGGGTTAAAGAAGACGGTGACCGCTCTGGTGAAAAAAAGTAGCAAATTAAGTAGTTGTCTTATAGCGTATCGAAGTACTTTTGATTATCGGTAGCAGAAAAGTAAGCATTTCTTGTTTTCTGGTTATCTCCTACTTCAGTGGTGACTTTGTGGCGTGGTGTTGATAATATGCCTCTTCAACAGAAGTGAATTGAAAGGCACACTGTTTACTATTGCAAATCTGCAAGGTTGTTGTCGCAAGGGTTTTATCCGAAATGCAAAATACGCAGTTGCTCTCTTGAACTGTGAGGGCCGATGGAATTTGTTTCTTTTAAATGAGATCTAATACTTTGCTGAAATGTTTTCAATTACAAACAAAGCAAATGTAAGCTTCCTACACGTAGGTTTCCTTAAAGGCCTAAAAACTTTACTGAGAAGGAACAGGGCGACATTGTCTGAACAGAATTTAACAGTGAAATTCTGTAAAGGACGTAGTTATTAGTAATGTGCTTCCATTTGTTTGTAAGGCTGAGTTCAAGGCATTGCTGTATGGCCTATGCTTCTTCCACGCGCTGGTGCAAGAAAGGCGGAAGTTCGGGCCACTGGGTTGGAACATACCATACGAGTTCAACGAGACGGATCTGCGCATCAGCGTGCAGCAGCTGCACATCTTCCTGGACCATTACGAGGTATGGCAACCTTCCCGAGGCCCGCACGTGGTTCTCACGTGCAACGTAGACCGGTGAGGGCACGTACTCAGACAGCGGAGAGTTCCCTGGACAGTGGTTGAGTAGGGGTCACTGGGCAGTGAGCGTTTACTTGCAGCAGTGTGAAAAACGTTCCTTTTTGGAGGTTAGCGTGTTGTGGTCCGTACGTAATTGATGCTGGAAATGTTCAGGTTCTGATGTTGGCTGTCTGTCACGCAGAATACGATCCACACTGTTGTCCGTTCTGTCTGAATCTTACACCGTCTCTAGAGAGATGCTGTGGTTTCCTCTCTTGGAAGAGTCGTTGGAAGCCATGAATCATTATGCTGAAACCGGTGCTGTGACTTAGATAGTCCTAGGGACAATACAGGACTCCAGAGTACAGCAGATGATGCGTGAGGTTGTTTTGTGACAATGTATTTTTTTTTTATTTTTTGCCTATGGTGTTATTGTTCTAAAGAAGAAGTGGTGTTTCATAAGACAAAAGTAGCCCAAGTGTAGTATAAATACTGAAATATGAAGTATAAGGATCATTTTAAGTACTGAAGTAGTTGCAGATAAGGAGATTTACAGTATAAGAGCGAACTATCAGTTGTAAATCATACTTGGTTAAGGTTTTGCGAGAATGCCGGTTGACTTGAAATTAGATGATAGCGATACTGAAGTGGCCATTGGGCTAAGTAATAGTCTGCGGCTGAATGTGTTTTGTTTTTTTTCTTTTTCCTCTAGGAGGTACCTTACGATGCTCTGCGCTACATGACCGGGGAATGTAACTACGGCGGCAGAGTCACCGACGACTGGGATCGCCGCACACTCCGTAGCGTTCTGAACACTTTTTTCTCATCAGAAGTCATTACAAATAGAGATTACAAGTTCGATTCGAGCGGCCTTTACTTCGTTCCTCCTGAAGGTGATGTAAGTATTTGAAAGATGTGGATTTATTAGAAGCTTCCTTGGTATCAAGGAGTTGCCTAATTGAAGGAATACTGTATATATGTTTACGTACATACAAATTCATACATAAAAATGTATATATGTATGTGATTATGCTTATGTTGAATAGCGCTTTGTCGCTGGTACTATTGGGTAGCGCTTTAGTGATGGGTAAGGTCTGGAAATTATGATAAGGAAAGAAAGGAATTAATAGCCTGAATTAGTAAGGCTTCTTAAAGCGTGCAGTCTGCACCATTTCGTACACTCAGGGCTAGGTAGAGCGATCTAGCCCACTTAAGTTTAAAGGACATTCAGCTTGCATAAGAGAATGGGCAGTGCTGGGAAGGACCTTGTGATTGATAAGTTGATGAAACAGGTGAGTTAAAGGAAGTGTTCTTTTTTTTGCAGCACGGAAGCTACATTGAATATACCAGGATGCTCCCACTGAATCCTTCCCCAGAGATATTTGGAATGCATGCCAATGCTGATATTACTAAGGATCAGTCAGAAACACAGTTGTTATTTGACAGCATTCTTCTTACTCAGGTGATGCAAAAGATGATAAGACAGCTGATTAGATAGTCTGTTCCTGTAATTTCACAGGTGTACAAGTGACTGTCTGGAGTGTTTAATCTCAGTTGTTAATGTGTTTTAATGTTTTGCTGTTAATTATGTAGAAGTTAGTGTATAGCTAGACTGAGCTTTAAAGGTGTGTGGTTTTTTTTTGTTTATGAGAGATTGTGTCAGTACTTCAGTATTAAAGTACAAAGCATTTTTTTTGAGGAAACAGACTTAGAAATGTTATGACATGGCAAGTTTTTGTTTTTTTCAGTAGTGTACAGTCTGAAATTTCCAATGTTTGACATTACAGTCCAGGGCAGCTGGTACAGGTGCCAAATCCACGGATGACATTGTTCATGATGTGACAGGTGACATCCTGAGTAAACTGCCCAGTGACTTTGACATTGAAACAGTAAGCAGAAAGTACCCAACTGCCTACAGTGAAAGTATGAACACAGTGCTTGTTCAGGAAATGGGAAGATTCAACAAATTGTTGCACATGATTCGTGAGTCTTGTGTCAACATCCAGAAAGCCATGAAGGTACATGGAATATTGCCCAATTTCATATTTCATAACCATATTTCTGCACATAAGTGGGCGAACACGTTCTTACGTTCTTACGTTCTTACGTTCTTACGTTCTTACGTTCT